CCCAAGGATCTCGTGGCCACTTGTTGGCCGCTGTTTGTTAGATTCTGAAGGCCTTGCTATCATTTACAACTGTCCCCTGTGGATTCGCCCTTCTCTACCCCAAAGATCAAAGAGAGGACTCCTACATGCTGTTTCCTGTCCAATCCTGGTTCACAAAGATGGCTGGGTCAAGCTCTCCATCTAACAGGGCTAGTCCTGCTGTCCTCTCCCTGCCATAGGGTAATTTCCAGTGGCATAGTTTTTCCCAGGGATGAGACTTCAGACGTCTGGTTCTAGATAGGTCTTTCCACACACGGAGGAAACCTGGATTGGGATTGGCTAAACATGACATGGCTTAGGGTGAGTGGAYACAGCAAGGGGGGATTTGGAGGCTGAGAGCTGGAAGAGTCTTGAGGAGTAAACTCTTTTGGTGCTGTTGAGAATTCAGCAACTTGGTGTTCCTTTAAATGACTCTTTCAGAAAGCTCTGGGAACAAACAACAAAGTTATTTACCACTTTCACTTCCCTGGCAAGAGTTTCCTGGAAGAGTGCACTTAGGTTGAAAAAGTTGGTGGAATATAATGTGGACAGTAAGYTGCGTGGGGCCAAAGGAGATTGTGAGTTTCCCCAAAATACCATGCTGGACACTGGAACCAGGATTTGAAACTGCCCTAGCTGAAATGTGCCTGTCCCCTCTCAGAAAGCTAGCCAAGGGGCGGGGTGCAGTTCTTGGCAGGGTGAGTTGGCAGCCGTCCCAGAGAACCTCAGCAGGGTTCTGGGAGAGTTGCCAACACCAGGAAGGGCAGCCTGGGAGAAGAGCAGGGCTGTGGGCTGCTGGGCAGGAAAACCCTCCCGCCCACAAGTAGCCAGACTGTGCTCCGACTGGTGTCTTAGGGCCTKGCAGCCTGGCCCCACCGAACCCTGGGAGAGGGGAGCCCTCATGGAGGGCCTAGTGTTTCCTGGCCTAGGCAGACACTTGAATCTCGCTCACTTACTTTTAGCAACACCCGTCTTGATGGCTACAGAATAGACTGAGGGGCTTGGCAAGGCACCAGGAAGCAGCAGAGCTCTGGCTGGCTTAGACTCCATGGCTTCGCTGCTGCAAGTCCAGGGCCTTTGCTATGAGCCCAGCCTCTGAGAGCCCGACCCGAATAGAATAAGTGACTGATCGTTTTCTCCAGCTCCTGTTTCTTCTGTTGTGGGTCTGTGATTAGGTCTCTGAGCCTCTCCTAACCTACTCTATAAATGGGTGCTAACAGTGCCTCATGCCTAATGCCAGCACCTCCTGCCAGTTAWCCAGCACAGACGGTGGGTAAGGACGTCAGCTGCCCACCCACTTCACACATGGACAGCCTCCTCTCACGGCCACCCACACCTGCCCTCAGTGGGCACAGCCTTCAGCATCCGCCAAGAGCCTCGCCCCTCTCATGGCAATGCAGAGCTGCATGCTGCATCACCCTGGGGGCTGATGGGAGGTTTAGACCTAGAGGGAATAAGAGATTACAGTTCTCCACTTGTCCCATCCTCAAAGCTACGCAGCCAGCATTCAATCTCCCAGGACAATGGATGAGGCCAGGTRCATGAGTCATCCAAACTCAAATCAGCAGAGGCAGCTGCACACCTTATTCACTTCCTGTAGAATGGAAAGCACCTAAGTTAAGGTGCCTTCCAGGATGGGCTTGTGAGTCTGCCTCAGTGTTCAGCTCGGGGGGTGTCATTCACAATGCCATCTCCAAAACGGGCGCCATTTACAAGAACAGACCCCCTGAAGCTGTGCAGGGGGTAGTACTGCCTCTGGACCATTTATTTGTAAGAGGACTGATCAGCTGCAGGCAGATTCCCAAGCTACCTCAGCCTTCCGTAAACAGCTGCATCGCCCTGGATGCTGAGGTAGGCACCAGGAAGGAGCAGAGCTCTGGCTGGGTTAGACTCCATGGCTTCGCTGCTGTAAGGCCCATACCTCTTCACTTAAAGAGTCCCTCTGCACCTTCACAAAATATGCAGAGGATCATTCCAGATCATCTGCTGCAAGTCCCAAATGACTCTCCTTCAATGCTGAAGCATCACAATGGTTTTCCAGGATCGCTGTTACCTGCCCCCTGTGGCCCCTCTGGTTTCTTTCCCTGCATGCAAAATACACCAGCTCCCAGCCAGTCCCCCGACATCCCAGGAGCACTCATGTCTCAGGGACTGTGTGTTAAATTCCTTGCCCACAGTCCCGTGGCTGACTCCCTTATTCTCTTCAAGTTTTGCTCAAATCAAGACCTACCATAGCCACCCTCCATTCCATCCCCAGCACCTCTCCATCTCCCTTAATGGCTCACCTCTGTCTTCACCCATAGTGCTTATTATCTAATAGACTCCATACTTAATTTTTTCTGTGGCTTCGTGTCTGTTTAATCTTTGTCTTGGTCTCTGCTGTGTCTCCAATTCTTGAGCAATGTGACACATAGTAGGTACACAATGTCTACTTTCTGGTTGGCTGAATGAATGTAATGCCACTGATGTTTGAAGACCTCTGCTTCGGAGAGAATTGCTGCCTGATGGGAACTATCAGCTCAAGTTCTGATCCCACATTAAATACCTGAACTTTCCACAAAAGGGCAAAAAACTAGGGGAAAAATCTTCCTTGCAAGTCATGGCTTTTCCTGAGTGGCCAGGATCTAGTAGGTATGGCCTGAGAGAGGACAGGCAGTCCCCAACCCTGCCCTCTGGCCTTGTAGCCTGAAATCCCACCATTATGAGGTTGTCAGGCATGGCCCTCTCCCTGTGATCTCATCTCAGCCCCTGACAAGATTGACACAAGGATTCTAGAGACAAGGTTAAGAGGCTGGACCAGGGGCTGGAGCTGTGGCTCAGGAGTAGAGCACATGCCTGGTACATGTGAAGCACTGGGTTTGATCCTCAGCACCACATAAAAATAAGTAAATGAAATAAAGTTATGGTGTCCATATACAACTAAAAAATTAAAAAAGAAAAAGAGTTTGGTCCAGACCCTTGCTAYTCAAAGTGGTCCTTAGACCATCAGCATCAGTAGCATCTGGGGGTATGTTTGAGATGGAGAGTCTTGGCCGGGAGTGCAGCTCAGTGGTAGAGTGGACACTGAGCAAGCAGGGCGGGGGGCCCTGAATTCAGTCCCTAGTACCAATAAAAAAGAAAAGAAAAAAATAGAATCTAAGAATCTCCCTTTAACAAGACCTACATATTATTAATGGACATGAACGTCCTACTAGGCACAGTCAACTATGGGCTTATTGTTTCTACTGGACACAAATCACAAGTTGACATGAAACTTCACAGAGTCTGTGCCCTTAATTAATCGTAACAAACGAAATTGCAACGGTACATTGTCACAGGTAGGCCTGTTAAACGGTGCGTCCTGCATGCTGTCACCATCTGGGCCTCTTTTTCTAGGTTTGGGGAAACAYATGACAACAGATTTCCCCAGGAGGGTGGCTTTTGAGTGTTAACATTCCCAGGACCAAGTTTATCAGCTGCTCAGTGTTTCTATTAGAGAAAGGACTGGAGCCACCCAAAGGTTGATGGGAAGGGAAAGAACCAGAGGTACAAGAAGGATCAGAAGAGGTGGAAAGCCGCCAACACAAAAATACCCACTAGYAGGACACGGTGTGTCTGTGCTTGGGCTAAGTGCTCTCCCGTGACAAGCTCATTTCATCCCCACAGGGAAGGGGAGGACCCTGCCATTTTTTGTTTCCTTTGCACAGGTGAAGAGACAGCCTTGGAGCAGGTGGAGGGCCCGGCTACAGTCAGATATCAGCAGGGTGGTAATCTGCCCTTCAACAAGGGACATAAACGTTGAGTTCACAGCACCTCCAAGAGCAGAGACCCCTCTCACTGCAGGGTGCCCCATCCCAGCATTCTTCCTGGTCGCAGGCCCTCACTGGGTGTTGACTGAAYGTCAAGCCCAAGACTGCTTGGACCACAGTCCTGGTCTCTCGGAATCAGTGTGCTCGGCCCAGGCAGGGGCTTACAGAAGGCCCCACCTAAGCTGGTCATTGAGCTGTGACCAGCCATCCCAGAGAGCTGCTCCCTTGTCCCTAGGGGCTCCTCTGTCACCCCTAGAGATGTGTATTTCCTGAYCCAGTGGCCTGGGTCCTTCTAGTGCCCATCTGAGAAGCTCTGTAACCCACCAGAGTGTGAACCCCAGCCGAGAGGTGGGCTTCCTCAGGCATCCCCCAGCCCTCCAGGGTCTGTCCTTCCCCTCCTCAGGAAGACTCCTTACAGCTGAACTCTTCAGAGGATAAGGCAGACTGAGAGTGAGAGCACTCTTCCCACCGAGTTCCTSAGGGAGTATTCCAGAACGTTCCAGAGGGAAATGGAGTGACTYGCCCAAGCCTGCTGGGAGTTGATGGTAGAGCCCAGACGATGGTCCAGGTTTCCCGGCTCCCTGCCCCGGGCCTTTCTCTGGCTCTCCCTGGTTCCTGGCGTTTGGGAGCTCCCTACTTGGCATTCTTGGCCTCTCCTCCATGGCTACTGCCCCCCGGGCTGTGCCATGGGATTGAGTCAGCCATTAGTGCCCTTGTCATTTAAAAATGCAGATAATGACTCTAACCTACTTTCTCGAGGTCAGCTCACTAATAAGYGTTTTAAGACATTTTGAAGGAAATGCTTCTCAGAGCCTCCTTCAGAAGAGTGATGGGTAGGTACCTCGTTGCTYCCAGGAAAGGGACCCAACTCCTGTCTGGGCTGCAATAAAGAGATGCTGTGGGCAGTGTGCTGTGAATCTGATTCCCAGAGACTACCACCCCAAGACCCCTTTCCCCTTCCCCCSGGATTCTAAGCCATTTCAAAGTGGCGGCTACCCCAATGGCTTTCCTTACCCCCAAAGACCTGTGTGCACTTCCAGCCAGAGCAGGAGGAGGCTGAGTCTCCCACGGGAGACGCCTGGCATCCCCACCACAGGGGAACTATCCCACAGGGCACTCTTTGGCTTCATGCCAACCCTTATTCTGGCCACCTACCAACTTTCTCAGGTACCTCAGAACACGCCTCCAGCTCTCCTCAGAGAAGAACGTGGGGCTGGCACAGGCCTATACATTCAATAGGGCCTGAAGGAAGTAATGAAGGATAAATGAGGTTTTAARGGTGGGGGCCCTGATTCCCTGGGATTAGCGTCCTTATAAAAGATACCAGAAAGTGTCTCCCTCATGCACACACAGCAAGGACAGGCCACGGGAGGACACAGCAACAGGCGGTGTCTGCAAGTCAGAATAAGAGCCCTTGCYAGAAAACAAATGGACTGGAACCTTTATCTTGGACTCACCATCTYCCAGAACTGTATGGAATACATTTCAATTATGAAGCCACCCAGCCTGGGCTATTTGTTATAGCAGCCGCATGAGAGGAATACAAAGGGAGAAGGTCCTCCACTAGCTGGGAGGCAGGCGCAGGAAGACGAATGASTACTGCATCACGGCAGACAGCTGTTCTCGTGCCCTGCCACACACCAGAAGCAACTGGAGATYGGCACATCCTTTCTGAACTGGACCCCACCCCGGAATTGTGGGTAGAACTGTGCCAGGCTGTGACTTGAGCATGGGGAATGTGAGTGTTAAAATCTCCCCGATGAGGGGCCGGGTTGTGGCTCACTGGTAGGGCACTTGCCTGGTATATATATAAATCTCCCTGATGATTCTAAAGTGCAGCAAAGTCTGGGAACCACCACCCTAAGAGCTATTCTAAAAACATGGGAGCAGAGAGCAGAGCATGGGAGAGGGGACAAATGGATGGGCAGGTGAGACGAGTGGACAGGAGTACTCAGGCAGAGGGCCCAAGAAAAGACAGGACAGAGAGATGCTCATGGGGGAGTGTGGTGTCTGGTGATGGAGGGAGAAGCAGTAGGATTTGCAGGTGCACAGGGCCTGGTCCTGAGTGGCTTGGATGGCATGTGGAGGAGGTCAGGGTTAAAGCAGGAAACGCCTGGAAGCCCACAGAGGACCGTAAGCAGGGGAGGGACACAACGACATTTGGGAAGATTCCTGGGGATGGTATGGTGCACAGGCCACAGGAAAAGCAAACCTTCATTCACTCACTCTTTCTTCATRTCTCCCACACTTGACCATGAGCTCTATGAGGGCCTGCCCTCGTGGAAGGGAAGAAGCCAAGAAGTGTCCTGCTAGTGATTCTCTCCCTTGCTCACACTTTAGAATCATCTGGGGAATTTTGAAAGCGCACAAATTCGCAAGCCTTATTCACAGGGAYACAATTTGATTGGTCTGAACCCATTGTCAAGTGAGATTCAATTTGTCTACACAAGAGTCTCAGCACTGGTAATTTTTTTWAAAAGATGTTTATTTATTTTTTTAGTGGTAGTTGCACACAGTAACTTTATTTATATGTGGTGCTGAGGATCAAACCCAGGGCCTCGCACTGCTAGGTGAGCGCTCYACCACTGAGCCATAGCCACAGCCCCAGCACTGGTAATTTTGTTTTTTTAAACTGGCCTCATGTGATTCTAATGTATGAGCCAGGTTTGGGAACCACAGGTCTCTAGAGATGAAAGAAGTTTCGAAAGGGAACAGACTCCTGACTCCTAATTAGAGAAAGGAGTGGACCATTCACTTTATTTCATCTGCCTAGAACCTGGGATCTTCATTCACATGAGAAAATGGCATCTGCTGGGTGCCTGACAAGGACTTGAGATGGAGGGAGGGCCATGATGGACAATTAGAGACATTTGCTGAGCATCTACTGCGTGCTGGGCAGAAATTTTTACAATGACACATTTACTCTCCTCAAAACCATTTTTCAAATGCAGAAACTGAGATTCAGGTGCAGGTAAGACACTTGCCCAGGGGTAAACATCTGGCAAGTGTTTAATTGTTTAATTGGGCTGATTAATTCCAAAGCCATGGGTCATATCCAGACATCCCCATTGTCCTGGGAGTGATCAGAGCTGATGGAGCCATCTCCCCTCTGAAGTCCTCCTTGTATCCACAGTTACCTCTGGTGCATCACCTTCTCAGGAGGACCCAGAATCCTGGACACCAGAGTAGATGGCTGGGCCAGGCTGAAAGGGGCACGGACAAAGAGTGGAGCGAGGCTGGSATGTGCGGGACTGGAGAGGGAGTTATTGGGCATGGTTGCCAGGGCTGCAGTAGGCAGTGTGTCCCGTACTTTGGAGTTGTGCTTGGTCCTTGCGGTGAGAGTTCCGTGGGGGAAGCGGGACCGGGGCGCCCTCGCTCGGCCGGCACAGGTGTGCCGGGTGCCATGGCGACGGCGCCGCGCGAACCCCTCCCGCACGCCCCCCCCCCCGCCCCACTTGCGTCTGGCCGGGGAGGCGTGGGGCAGCAGGCGGCAGAGTCCAGCGGACAGCAGCGCAGCGCTGCGCGGGAGCGTCAGCTCCGACCCCAGGGGAGCGAGACGCGGGCACCGGCCTGGGCCTGCGAGCGCCCCCTGCGCGCCTCCACCCACCTCGGACCAGACCAGACTCGCGGAGCGCAGTGGCAGCGCGCAGGGCTGGACAATCRAGCCCTTGCAGAGACCCTCTGCCCCTGCCGGCTGCCTGGCTCCATCAGAGACTGTCCCGGAACAGGCAAGAGTGGGAAGCATGGAGGGTAAGTGACCCCGGGGCTGGGGGCGAGGGTGGGGAGGTGTATTGACTCAAGAGTAGGGGGCAAGGGAATGAGGGAGCTCATCACCCGTGGCTGTTCAGAACCAGACACTGTGACACTGTGTGACAGTGATAGAGAGGGAAAGAGAAAGATCTGGGGATGCCTCTGTGTCCATGATGTGTATGCGTGTGTGAGAGAGAAAGAGATATCTGGGGGTGTCTCTGTGTTTATGGGGTGTGTGTGTGTGTGTGTGTGTGTGTGTGTGTGCGCGCGCGCCCGTGCTTGCCTGCTTGGGCACAATGTCCCATACCTGAGCAAAGGTTCATTTGAAACCAAGTGAGGACAGCTTGGCTATTGGCTTTAGGGAATTGTCACCAACTTTGCCTGTTTGCAGGGTGGGGGTAGCGGGAGAGATGGCATTCTAGAAGAGATTGCCTCCATGCAGAGAGAATTTCTGTCCCTGGGGGGAAGGGGAGGTAAGGACCTAACCTCCAGACTTTACCAGGTAGTGGCCCAAGGCACAGGCAGCTGGCTCCAACTTATCAGGTGGGGTCTAGACCCCTCTCTCAGCCCATGTGGATGACAGGAACTGCATTTAGGCTGAGAAACTGGAGGACTGAGCACTGGTCCACTAGCTTGCAGGGTGTCTCTGAGATGGTGCCTAAACCTTTCTGTGCCACCGGTGAGCCATCTGTTGCATGGAGGAACTTACATTCAGCTGGCTTCCCAGGTTGGYGGTGAGGATAAAATAAGACAAGATGTGTTGTACAAATTCATGCCAGTAAGAGAAGGCTCTGCAAGAGGAAGAAAATTCTGACATTCCAATAAGTAATTGGAAATACTGCTGTCAAGAGTGAGAAGAGGGCTTTATGGAAGAGGCTGTAAGGCTGCACTTGTAGCTTTCCATTGAGCTAGGGTTTGAAAAGCACACACCATAGATACAGGGATGGATCTGGAAGATCGACAGGGTCTGTAAAGAATAATGTCAGCAAAGCAGTGAAGCCCCAGTGAACAGAAACCGGGGGAAATTGGAAAGGACAGAGCAAAGAGCTTTGTCAGTCAAAGCAAGGACAAGAAGGAATCTGCTCTACTCAGGGCTTGGGGCTAAAGGGCAGGCAGAGTAGTGCTCAGGCCATTTTCCTTCACATTGGGAAATGAAGAGCAWAAGGAGAAAATTGAAACCTAGGATCGGTGAATGATGGGAAGAGGGCCCTGAGCCACCTATAATAAGTTCACCCTTTAAAACCCAGATACATGACATCCCAGAGAGCCAGAGGKGTTTGCAGATGTAATCATTGCCTTAGAGGAAATTACAGAGAATAACAAAAGTGCCTGAAAACTGAAGACGGGCAAGTGCCTGATTTTCAAAAAAGAGGGAAAGATAATGTATTTTTAAAAACCTATAAAGCGCTAAGATTAAYATTGACCTCTATTAAATTTCCAGAGGAAATGATTGGACACAGAGTGAACTAAGTGTTAGGAGACAGTAAAGCAATCGAACATCTCACAATTTTTTTTCAAAGGGAGCCGCCCTGCATGCTTGCAAATACGTATGCCTGAGCATGTTCACCACAGTGCAAAATTGGAAGCCATTTAGATGCCTGTAAATTAAATAAATTAAAGAGGAGGCACATCCACCATGGCTTACATTAAATGTGCTTCGGATTTTGTTTATTGACATGGAAATATGTTCTCTGCCCACTGGGAACAGATCACGTCATGTGAGTTTGTATGACGTACAAATAATAAGAGTCCTAAAAAAGTAGGTTTTAGAACACATGTATGATCCCTTTTATGTGAAATTACACAGGCTTATTACTGGAGAGAATAATTTATATTGGAGAGAATAATTTATACTGAATATGAATTTACATGCAAAGAGATAGTCACTAACATCTGCATTTGGATTCTCCTGCTTCTAACAACAGACCCTTGGGCTGGGGCTGGGGCTCAGTGGTAGGGCACTTGCCTAGCATGTGTGAGGCACTGGATTTGATCCTCAGCACCACATTAAAAAAAATAGGTAAAATAAAGTTATTTTAAAAATATCCTAAGAAGAGAATGTGGATATAGGGGGYTCCTTTGGGAGCTGATGTGGGGAAGCAGAAGTGAAAGAATGAAAAGAGTGAGAAAGGAAAGGAAAACAGCAGGGGATAGGTGTATGAGGGCTGGGGATGAGCACTTACCTAGTGCATGGAAGCCCCTGGGTTCAATCCCAAGTACAGAAATAAATAAATAAATAAATAAATAAATAAATAAATAAATAAAATAAAGGGAGGAAAGAAAGAAATGGGTGCATTCATGAACTAATTTTAGCCGTGGCAGTTGGGGCCTCCATCTTGCTAGGGACTCCCTGAGCAAAGTACAGAATGCACTGGTAATTTGCCCCACGTGAAATGAGATGTCACCGGCCATGAGTCCCTCCCTGTTGGTTGAGGGTCGCCCTGCTCCTACAGTTCTGTGTCATTCCTGTTTGTGGCTTTAGAAAAAGTAAAGCAGAGAGACCCCGGRGTGCAGGCTTGATGGGGTATTGGCAGAGCAAGGAAGTGTCCACCCCAGCTGAAATCTTTGGGCCAAGAAGAGTTGGCACCAAACATCACAAACGCAGCAGCCAGCCAGGTTACCTCTGGGTGCGAGGTCTCAGGGGTGTTTCCTCTCTCTTTTATTGTGCTCAGCACTGTTTTATAACAAGCTCATCATTTTAAATAAAAAGGAAACAAAACCCAACATTTTCGGAGCTGGGGCTGTAACTCAGTGGTAGAGAGAGCACTTGTCTAGCATGCATGAGACYTGGGTTCTATGCCCGGCACCAAAGAAATAGAAAACAACTTCTTTTCAAAAAGAAAGATGATAATATAGTGCTCATTAGTAGCCTATATCAGAGCTCACTAAGAACAAATTAGGCAAAACCTGCCAAGTCTCCTCTTTCAGACTGTGTTTCCGAGAGGTAAAAAGATGAATTACAGCAGTTTAACAGGATGCTGCAGAGATCTGTCAAGAAAACCCTGTGAACTGATAGACAAGGACGCTGGAGGGCTGACAATGGGGGTTTCATTAAAGATTTGGTAGCAGTCCCTGGGTCCCTTAGAGGGAAAATAAGAGGCATGTTTTATCCAATCCGCAGCTAGGAGACGCAGCTCCCCCAGTGCAACAGATTCAAGATGTAAGTTAGTCACGATATATGGAATGCTGGGTTGAAAGCAAGGAAATGAACTATAAATGTACAAAACATACATGAAAATGTGGAGTCCCGAGTGTAGATCCACAAAGCCAATGGTATACAGTTACCATGAGGGATCTCTGGCTTGTGCCCTTGAGAAAAAATACTGAGGGAGGGGATCAAAATGAATTGATGAGGGGCTCGGGAGCCTGAGGCAAGAGGATCACAAGTTCAAAGCCAGCCTCAGCAACTTAGCAAAGCCCTAAGCAACTCAGTGAGACCCTGTCTCTGAATAAAATATAAAAGGGCTGTGGATGTGGCTCAGTGGTTAATTGCCCCTGGGCTCAATCTCAGGTACCAAAAAAAAGGTGGATGATGAGATGGGTCTGGAGCCCCTCTTTCTGGAGCTGGAGATGCTGGAATGTGAGGGTGGGAAGGTAAGCTTCAGGGAATGGTGCTGGGGACAGGGGCTCCCCCTTGTTCTGTGTAGCTCCAGGAAGCAGAACAAGAACTGACGTACGAAACAATCACGTCAACACCAGGAAGATATTTCCATCACTCAGAGCTGGCCTAGAAGCTGTCTCCTCACCAGCTCCCATTATCCAGTGTGAAAGAGGTCTGATTACTGACTGGGGAGGGGAGAAACTGTACCAGATGTGTGGCCTAGACGGACGCCTGAGGGCCCAGAAGCCTTCTCCCAACGCTTGGAGACAGACACTGCAGTTTGCTGAGGTCCCTGCAGAGTAGCTGGGGCCAGTGAGTCTGCCACCCACCTCCACCTTCTCTGCTGGTCCCTGACTGTGGTGTAGGCAATGGGTAAGGCAGCAGGACAGCAAATCAGATCCGCTCCCCAGTCCCATCCCATCCTGACCCCAATATAGTAGTGGCTTCCTAGAAGCCCCTGGTGGCCCCCACAGCTGCCTACCCAACCTGGGAGCTCTGCGACTGAGAGATGTATACCCACACTGGCCCCAGGCCATACCTGCAGGGAGGCCGACCATGCATGGGAAGGGGGCCCCGGGAGAGAGGAGCCAGCCAACTGGTCTCCCTCCAGCTCAGCGCACAGTAGCCTCTTGGAGGTCCTGGAGTCACTGTGCCCTCCCCTTTTCCACAAAGCACTTGATCACCCTGGAGCTGACTATCCAGTCTGGGAGGTGGGCATGGAGACAGCACTGTCCCTCTTTAGCAGATGATAAAACAGAGGCCCAGCACATACAGCTTGCCTTGCTCTGCTGACTCTTTCTGCTCAAATGACCCAGATTCTGGGGACACTCCAGGACCACAGCCTCCACAGAGTCCATCTATGCAGCTCTGTCCTAAAGACCTGCACCTTCCTGTCTGGCTGGGCGTGAGGAATGAGCATCCTCTGCGGCTGGGGAAGCAGAGGCCGGGTGTGTGTAGTTTGGGTTCTCACTGGGCCCTGGGCTACGGGATGACCATGTCCTGCTTCTAGCAGTGAGTTGAGGAGATGTTGAGTATTTCAGCTCAATCATTGAATCATCGTGTGGCTCATTCAACTGCAAAGACTCCAGGCACTTACAACCAGGACAGGCCCGTGTAAACAGCTGCTCAGCCCTGATTTTATACGTAAGGAAACTGAGGCACAATAACTGGAACCCAAAATATGGCTCATTTCKACCAGTTCTGCTTAAGATACAAACATAAGAGACAGAAATTCAGTCTCCTCAAATGCTTTTTGCTGCTCTCTCATTAATAACTGAAATTGCATCAAGAGCTTTGCATTTTCTGATTTAAGTTTTCACTCCTTTTGAAATGCAAATGGCCAAAAGATACACAGCCCTGTGAGCTGTTGTGAGTCATTTCCCCATCCATGTGGACAAATTTATCAAAGTCTTTCCTAAACAAGATCCCAGTAAGGATGGGGAGAGAGAGAACATAAGTAACTCAGGACAGGGATGCTGAGATTTGGGGCCAGTGATACCTATTGGGAAGTACTTGGTGGAGGAAGAATGGATCTCAAAGGGCTTAGGTGTCCTCTTTGATTATTCCTCAAATAAGCCCACAGTAGCTCCGGTTCTCCCTGTGGCCACTGTATTCCTTCGTCTGCAGGCAAAGTTTTAAATGATACATATAGTATTCATGGCATTTCCTTTGTAGCAGGATGCTCAGGAAGACAAGGTCCTCTCCAAATCAAGGTTCCCTTGTGGCTGCTAATGGGCACTGGAAGGCTTTAGAGGTGACTAATGGCACTCAGAGAGGATGTAAAAATGGTAGGATATGGCAAATGCARAGTTTATTTGAGGACCCTGAAATCTGGAGTCAAGTAAAATCTAGGACTCCACCACTGCTGCACACCCTGCATTTTGACAAGTTTTTTTTATATGTTTATTTTATTTTGTCTTTGTGCTTTGATTTTCTGTGAAATGACAATATTTCTCCTGTCCTTGTCAGAGATAGCTTGGTGCTGTACAAAATGTATTTTAATAGTAATGAAAACAATATATGAATCAGAGCCTGTGTGATACAGCTAAAGCAGTTCTTGGAGGAAAATTCATAGCCTTCAAAACCTGTGGTAATTATCAACACTCATTGATCATCTCTGTGTTCTAGGCCATTTTTCTGTGGGTCAGTTCTTTGGTGAATGAAGCATGGCTTCTATCCCTAAGGCATGTATAACTTAGTGAGAGGGAAAACCCTCTATGCCCAGCTGAAGTAAGAAGTGAAATGCTGAGGTTGGGGATTTGGCTCAGTGGCAGAGCTCTTGCCTGGCATACACAAGGCCCTGAGCTCAGATGTTGGCCCTGGGGGAAAAATGGCTGGGAGTGTGGGGGGAGAAGTGAAGAGAAGTGAAATGTGAGTAGCTCTACAGGTAGATTTAGTAGACAGTCATAGAACACAGAGAGGGAGCTCTGGGGATGTACTTGGCTTTACCAAGAGCAAGAAAGAGGTAATCCTGTGTCCTTCATCCCCTTTTCTTTCTCTTCCTCTCCTCCTTTATGTCATCTTCTCCTTTTCCTCCTCCTTTGCTACCGCCTTCTTCCTCTTCCTCTTCCTTTTCCTCTTCCTCTTCTCCTTCTCCTTCTCCTTTTTCTCCTTTTCCCTTCCTCATCCTCCTCCTCTTCCTCCTCCTCCTCCTTCTCCTTGTACTGGGCATTGAACCCATGGGTACTTTACCACTGACCTACATCCCCAGCCCTTTAATTTTTTTAAATTTTGAGACAGGGTCTCACTGAATTGATGAGGGTGGCCTCAAACTTGCAATCCTCCTCTCTCAGCCTCTCTAGTGAATGAAATTACAGGCATGCACTCTTGCCCGTGGCCCCTTAAATCTCTTGTACCCCTCTCCCCACTTTCTAAGGTTCAGAATTCCTTCAATGGACTGAGAGTATAGACTTAATTAATATGTGATAAAGGCAATTCGATTTTCCCTGAGAGGTAAAGGACTTGAACCAGAATCTTTTCTGAATATAGGTTTTCATGGGTAACATGGAGAAAATCACAGAACTCTTGGAGGAAGTGAAGAAAAATGAAAAGGCTTCAGAGAAGACAAGGGAAAGCACATGTGTGATGTGTACACACCACACACACACACACACATACCACACACACACACACACACCATACACAACACACACACTACACACACACCAAACACACACACACACACACCACACTACACACACACCACACACACACACACACACGCACACACCACACACACATGCACACACCACACACTACACACACCACACACACACAC